TGAACAGGCAGAGGAGAGCAGGGATGGGACCAGACCCCCCCCATGGGCATCAGGTAGGGGCAGGCAAGCCCCTGCTGCTTGCCCCTGTGCCAGAGCCCCCGCACCCCTGGCACTGACTTGTAGACCTGGGAGAGGTTCAGGGTCTGGCCGTGCAGCCCCAGCGTCTCTGGGTTGAAGCTGGGGATCATGCCCTGGGTTTCCAGGAACTGAAGGCAAAAGTGGGGGTGGGAGCAGCTGCGACAGAGGCTCCAAGCCCAACCCCGGCCCCCCCAAGCCACCCGCCTGCGCCGGGGGCAGGAGAAAAACGGGACCCCCCCCAGGCAGCTCCCACATACAGAGAGCTGGAGTTGGGCTGGCAGGGGCTGCGGGGCGGGAGCGAAGGGTACCGACCGGTCCCTCACCTGGAAGAGCTGCCGGTCGTGCCAGGAGCGGCAGACCAGCACGTAGCCGTTGCCCCCCAGCAGGAAGGAGAGCAGCACCAGCAGCATGAGCAGCCAGGAGAAGAGGAAGCTGAAGCCCACGCCCCTGGGGGGGACAGCGGGGTCAGCGCTTGCCAGGTGGGGCTCCGGCCCGGCCCTGCCGCGGGCACGGGGTGTGGGGTCTCTTACGCCAGCAGCAGATTCCCGCCGGCGTTGGGCAGGCAGCCACGGTCCACGGGCAGCGCGGCGGGGTTCAGCCCCAGCACCCCCAGCGCCAGGCCCAGCGCGTAGCTCAGCACCACCAGCAGCACCAGGCAGCACAGGCAGACGCACGCGATCCACCTGCAGGGGAAGAGTCAGGCCCTTAGGAGTGGGGCCCCCAGCCCCCCGGGTCTCCCAGGCACCCCCACTGCAAACCCTGGACCCAGGGCAGCCCCCCCGGGCCCTACCTGTAGCGGTCAGCAGCCTGGACGAGCGGCTCGTAGCGGGCGGCGGAGCGGGTGACGTTGTGCAGGGTGGCCGAGACGTTGCTCAGGGCGTCCAGGTTCGAGAGCTTGGCCCGCACCTGCCGCAGCTCCCCCCGGATCTGGTCCAGCTGGGCCTGCGCCTCTGCAGCGGGCAGCACACAGGTCCAAGGGGGCCCCGGGCCCCCGCACCGGCTGGGGCCGGGGTGCAGAAACAGGGGGTCTGGGCTTGGGCGGGGGGCACCACTTACCTACGACCAGGTCCCGCGTCTCATTCTCCACCCGTTGCGGCGTGTCGTGCAGTGACCGGTTGGCCTGGACCGCGGGCGGGGGAGACGCACATGGTCACGGCCTGGCCCATGGCCCCCGGCACCAGTAGCCCCATGGGAGGTCGGGGGGGTCTCACCTGCTGGATGACAGTCTGGGGGTCGGAGCGGGTCAGGTTGTCCAGCAGGTCCAGCTGGTGCCCCGCGTTTGGCATCTGGGGGTGGGAGCCTGCGGTCAGCGGGGGCCGAGCCGGGAGGGGCTCGGGGACCGAAGGGACCCCCGGCATGGGGCGTGCGCCCCCCTCACCACGGGGGCATTGGGGCCGGGGCTCGCAGGGCTGCCCGCAGCTCTCCAGGCTGTGCTCGATGCGGGAGCACAGGGTGCTGAGGTTGCGGCCGACGCCATCCAGCCCGTCCTGCAGCCGCTGGCTTGAGTTGATCACTCCCTGCAGATCCGTGCGCAGGACGTCCAGGTCTGCGGGGACAGCGGCATGGCCTCAGCCCTGGGCGGCACGGCCGGGTGCAGCCCCCCGCGCCCGCGGCCCCTCGTACCTTCCAGCAGGCGCGCGGCGCCGTCCAGGGCTCCCTGCAGCTCGCGGCCAACGCTGGACACGATCGCGCTGCCCAGCACGGAGCTGATGTCTGCAGAGTCGGGGCACGGTCAGGGTTAGCCAAGCCCCCCGCCCCGCTGCCCGTGCCCCCCAGACACTCACCACGCAGGCTGTCGTTGGCCTGGCCCAGCGGCACATGGCTGCTGTTCACCACGAAATCCACCTGCTGCAGGGACACGGCGAGGGTGTCAGGCCCCGGCCGCGGCCCTGGTCCCATGTGCCCCCACTCTGCCCCTGGCCCCCATGCCCGTCCCTGGGGGATGTCGTCCAGGTAGGTGCTCAGGTTGCCCACGGAGCTGTTGAAGGTGCCGAAGCTGCTGCCCACGGCCCGGGAGATGCGCGTGTTGGTGACGAAGGCGCAGACGTTCCAGGCCCTGCCGCGGCGGGGGGTCAGCGCAGGCCAGGGGCTGCACCCGTCACTGCCAGGGACCCCGGCCCCCACCCCGGCAAGGCTCATGCCCAGCTCTGCCTCGGTTTCCCCCACCAGCAATGGGGATGAGTCCTCCTAGGCCTATAGTGGACGGGCTCCCCAGGTGCCCCTGGGGCTGGATCCCTGCCTGGAGCTCCCTTTAGATCCCGTTACACT